TGAGCCACAACGTCCGCATTATTATTATTATTGTTATTATTATTATTTTGACATAGAGTCTTGCTCTGTCACCCAGGCTGGAATGCAGTGGTGTGATCTCAGCTCACTGCGACCTCAGCCTCCCAGGTTCAAGCGATTCTACTGCCTCAGCCTCCTGAGTAGCTGGAATTACAGGCGCCTACCACCATGCCTGGCTAATTTTTGTATTTTTAGTAGAGATGGGGTTTCACCAGACTGGTCAGGCTAGCCTCGAACTCCTGACCATATGATCTGCCTGCCTCAGCCTCCCAAAGTGCTGGGATTACAGGCATGAGCCACTGCGCCAGGCTGAGAACCCTACTTTCGTAGTTAGCACATTATTTATTAGATTCAAATGCCATTTTCAGTGAGCCACTGCACCTGGCCAGGTATTGCATTTTTCATGTTTAGAGATTTGGCTGGGTGTGGTTTGTGGCATTTGCGCTGTCATCGCAGGATCTCCCTTCACCGTCTTCCTTTTCCTTTTCCTCTCTCCTGCATTCTATCTCCTGCTTGCTTTTTCTTTTGAGATGGAGTTTTGCTATGTTGCCCTGGCTGGATTGCAGTGGTGCCATCTCGGCTCACTGCAACCTCTGCCTCCTGGGTTCAAGTGATTCTCATGCCTTCACCTCCCGAGTAGCTGGGATTACAGGCATGCGCCACCATGCCCAGCTAATTTTGTATGTTTTTTTGAGACGGAGTTTCGCTCATTACCCAGGCTGGAGTGCAATGGCGCGATCTCAGCTCATTGCAACCTCCACCTCCTGGGTTCAGGCAATTCTCCTGCCTCAGCCTCCTGAGTAGCTGGGACTACAGGCACGCACCACCATGCCCAGCTAATTTTTTTCTATTTTTAGTAGAGACGGGGTTTGACTATGTTGACCAGGATGGTCTCGATCTCTTGACCTCGTGATCCACCCGCCTCGGCCTCCCAAAGTGCTGGGATTAGAGGCGTGAGCCACGGCGCCCAGCCCAATTTTGTATTTTTAGTAGAGATGGGGGATTTTACCATGTTGGCCAGGCTGGTCTCGAACTCCTGATCTCAGGTGATCCTCCTGCCTCAGCCTCCTGGAAGTGCTGGGACTATAGGTGTGAGCCACTGCACCTGGCCGGGATCTCCTGCTTTCTGTAATCACATCTTTCTCTTTTTTTTTTTTTGAGACAGAGTGTCGCTCTTGTTACCCAGGCTGGAGTGCAATGGCGCGATCTCGGCTCACCGCAACCTCCGCCTCCTGGGTTCAGGCAATTCTCCTGCCTCAGCCTCCTGAGTAGCTGGGATTACAGGCACCCGCCGCCATGCCCAGCTAATTTTTTGTATTTTCAGTAGAGACGGGGTTTCACCATGTTGACCAGGATGGTCTAGATCTCTCGACCTCGTGATCCGCCCGCCTCGGCCTCCCAAAGTGCTGGGATTACAAGCCTGAGCCACCGCGCCCGGCCATCTTTCTCTTTTCTGATTTATGTTCTTATTTTGGAAGAACATGTTCTCCAGTAGCTTCTTGGAAAAGGATGCGTGGGAGGTAATGTTGTTGATTACCTATGTCTACAAATGTGTTTGTAACTCTCCAGTCTCCTTGCTGGCTCCAGCTGTTTCCTGCACCTCCCAGCCTTTTCAGAGGCCACTCCTCTGCCTGAAGACTCTTCCTCCAGATACCCATTCTGTTTCCTCCCCTCATCCTGTTCAAATGTCACCTCTGAGACCTTTGCTTACCGCTTTAAGCAAAAGAGCCCCTGATCCCTACCTCCTACCCTTCTACTTTTCCTCAGGGCACCCAGCACTCCTAACGTGGCATTTGTGACAGGATCTTGCCCTGTCATCGCCCAGGCTGCAGTGCAGTGGTATGATGACAGCTCGCTGCAGCCTTGACTTCCCTGCTCAAGCAATCCTCTTGTGTCAGCCTCTTGAGTAGCTGGGACTACAGGCACATGTCACCATGCCCAGCTAATTTTTAAATTTTTTGTAGGCCGGGTGTGGTGGCTCACATCTGTAATCCAAACACTTTGGAGGCCAAGGCGGGCGGATCACCTGAGGTTGAGAGTTCAAGACCAGCCTGACCAACATGGTGAAACCCTGTCTTAATTAAAATAAAAAAAAAATTTTTTTGGCCGGGCGCGGTGGCTCACGCCTGTAATCCCAGCACTTTGGGAGGCCGAGGCGGGTGGATCACAAGGTCAAGAGATTGAGACCATCCTGGTCAACATGGTGAAACCCTGTCTCTACTAAAAATACAAAAAATTAGCTGGGCATGGTGGTGCGTGCCTGTAATCCCAGCTACTCAGGAGGCTGAGGCAGGAGAATTGCCTGAACCCGGGAGGCGGAGGTTGCGGTGAGCCAAGATTGCGCCATTGCACTCCAGCCTGGGTAACAAGAGTAAAACTCCGTCTCAAAAAAAAAAAAAAAATTTTTTTTATAGAGGTGTCTCATTATGTTGCCTAGGCTGGTCTCAAACTCCTGGGCTTAAGTAACCCTCCTACCTTGGTCTCCCAAAGTGCTGGGATTGCAAGCATCAGCCCCACCATGCCTGGCCTGTTATTTTTATTTACTTGTTTACGGTCTGACTCTGCCAGTAGGTCTGTGTCCAGGTAGTTGATGTGACAAATGATTCCAAGAAAGAGGAATAAGGGAAGGGGTGTGAACCATGGAGGAGGAGGAGCCAAGTCAAGGATGTGTTACTGAGTCAAACACCTCCCACGATCTTCTGGGGAGACTAAAAATGGCAGCTCAGGGCTGGGCATGGTGGCTCACACCTGTAATCCCAGCACTTTGGGAGGCTGAGGCAGGTGGATTACCTGAGGTCAGGAGTTCCAGACCAGCCTGGCCAACATGATGAAACCCCATCTCTACTAAAAATACAAAAAACTAGCTGGGCTTAGTGGCACATGCCTGTAATCCCAGCTCGGGAGGCTGAGGCAGGAGAATTGCTGGAACCCAGGAGGCAGAGGTTGCAGTGAGCTGAGATTGTGCCACTGCACTCCAGCCTTGGCAACAAGAGCAAAACTGTCTCAAAAGAAAACGAATGGCAGCTCAGAACTGCTAGAAGGAAGAGAAAAGCCTGTATAGCTCATCCACTAGCTCCTTTGGCAAAGGTGGCCCCGACAGATGCTTAACTTCCCTGCACTCTGGGTTGCATGTGTCAGAGAATCCCTGGGACAGGAAGCAAGAGGCTCAGGCCTGAGGCGAGACCTGTAGGGTTGTCTCTGTGCAAAGCTAGTTGAAGCCTGTGTGTAAGCGGCCACTGTGGCACCCTTGGTCCAAGGTGTTAGTAGCTGGCTGGAGTAAGTACGGCTGAGACTACGATACAGGGGCCCTGTGTGGATGGCTCCTTCAACACTCTTTTCCAGTCACTTAGAAGAGTAGTCAGGACACAGTGAGCATTCAGTAAATATTTACTGAATGCTGTTGCAGTCTAGTAGCCGGGAAAGGCAAGTAGTGAGCTAAGAAAATCAAGTAGGGGCTGGGTGTGGTGGTTCACGTCTGTAATCCCAGCACTTTAGGAGGCTGAGGCAGGCGGATTGCCTGAGGTCAGGAGTTTGAGACCAGTCTGGCCAACAGGGTAAAACTCCGTCTCTACTAAAAATACAAAAAAAATTTAGCCAGGTGTGGTGGCATGCATCTGTTATCCCAGCTACTTGGGAGGCTGAGGCAGGGGAATTGCTTGAACCAGGGAGGTGGAGGTTGCAGTTAGCCCTGAGATTGGGCCACTGCACTCTAGCCTGGGCGACAGAGCGAAACTCCATCTCAAAAAAAAGAAAGAGCCGGGTGCGGTGGCTCACGCCTGTAATCCCAGCACTTTGGGAGGCCGAGGTGGGTGGATCACGAGGTCAAGAGATCAAGACCATCCTGGTCAACATGGTGAAACCCCGTCTCTACTAAAAATACAAAAATTAGCTGGGCATGGTGGCGCACGCCTGTAGTCCCAGCTACTAGGGAGGCTGAGGCAGGAGAATTGCTTGAACCCAGGAGGCGGAGGTTGCGGTGAGCCGAGATTGTGCCATTGCACTCCAGCCTGGGTGACAAGAGTGAAACCCTGTCTCAAAAAAAAAAAAAAAAAAAAAAAAGAAAATCAAGTGGGTTGTGGGCTGTAATTGGGTAACTACAGGTTCCAGGGGGCCTCCAGCAGGAGCCTAGCTACCCCGTGGAGTAGGGGTGTGGAGGATAGGACAGAGAAGACTTTCTGGAGCAGAGGGTCCTTAACCTGAAATCTGGAAGATGAGCAGGAGCAACTGCACAGATGATTTACAAAGTACTTGCACATCTAAGTAAATATATCAGTGATAAAATCATAGGGAATGGCCGCATGCAATGGCTCACACCTGTAATCCCAACACTTTGGAAGGCCAAGATGGAAGGATAGCTTGAGGCCAGGAGTTCGTGACCAGCCTGGGCAACAAAGTGAGACCACATCTCTACACAAAAATTTTTTAAAAATAGCTAGACATGGTGGTAGAGGTCCCATTTACTTGAGAGGCTGACGTAAAAGGATCAGTTGAGCCCAGTTCGAGACTGTAGTGAGGCCATGTTCACACCACTGCACTTCTGTTTGGGCAACAGAGTGAGACTCTGTCTCCCTGCCTCGCCCCCAAAAAATAACAGGTAACATGTACAAAGCATTATCTGTGTGCCAGACACCATGCTGCATGCTTGGTGGGCCTTGTTAATTAATCCTTATTATTTAATCCTATGGCACATGAACTGTTTGATGTTTTACCCAATGGAAACTTGAAGCTCAAAGAATCCAAGTCACTCGCATTAACAGGGTAGAGAGAATCACTTCCCTCCGTTTTACACAGGGCTACAGAGGCCCAAAGCAGGGCAGTGACTTGCTCATGGTCACAGAAAGGTAAGGGCTGAGCTGGGACTAGAACCCAGGTTTCCTGACTCCTAGGCTTGTGTTCCTGCTCCAGAGCTGGCTAGAGAGGGGCTGAGGAGAAGGGTGAATTAAACACAGCCAGGCTGAGATGGGTGGGCACTGCCTCCCCAGCTACTACCAGAAAAAGCTGAAGGCAGGCACCTGCAAGGCCCAAGAAATGGAAGCGGCCATACGCCGGCTGCGGTTGCGGAAGAAGATTCCCTACAACCCCCAGCAGGAAGAGAGCTCAGAAGTCCCAGAACGAAAGGTCCTCAGTATCCTGGGCCGGCTGAAGCAGCAGAACTATGGTGAGGGCCCTGGGCAGGGGGGGCTGGGCTGGGCTGGGCTGGGGTCAGGGCTCTGCTCTCTTGCCCGTCTGGCCTCCTTACTTACCTGGGGCCCTCAGGCAGCCAGACCCAGGGAGCTGAGGCCAGTTTCTCACTTTGGGCTTAACTGCATATTGATAACCACTATTTGACATCCAGGCCTGTGACAATGACAATGGCCCCCTGCATTGGACTGCTCCCCTCCTGCCTTAGCCTGAGCTCAGGTTGGTCCCATGAGCCAGGACTGACACAGGAACAGCTGTAGAGATTGGCAATCCCAGCTTACTGTTTACTGAGTGCCCCACTGTGCTAGGCCCTTTGCTGATGCTCTAGAATCATCCTCATAATCATGTATTTCCTCCATTTTACAGATTAGAAAAATGAAACTGATAAAGTTAAGCAGCTTGCCCAATGCCCCTATCTAGTATGTTTTGGAAAGAGGAGTTTATATCCAGGTCTGACCCCAAAATCTATGCTCCTTCCACTAGCTAAGCCTGCCTCCCTTGCCCAGGTACCATTTATTAGGCTCCTATTGTGTGCCAAGTCACAGGATAGGAGGTTGGCGGTCTTTCTAGAGTATGCCTACTAGATTTTGCCAGCACCCAGCACAAAGACATCTGCTCCTTGTTAAGCTGTTACCAGCCCTTATTCTGTGTGCAGTACTGAGCTGAGTGCTTGCATATATTACTCCTTTAATCCTCATCAACTCTTGGGAGGCGGGTACCACTATCACCACCTCCAGAGGCACCAGAGAGCTCAGAGAGGTTAAGTGACTTGCCCCAAACCACCCAGTTCATTAGGTAGCAGAGTCAGGATTTCACCGGAATCTGCCTGCCTCCCAAGGCTGGGCGTGCTCCGAAGCATTCCCCCTTCTGCCTCCTCCTTCACCAGCTCCCAACCTGCAGAGCCCCTATGGCCAAGTGCCCTGCATCCCGCTCTGCCCACGGTTGGACAAGAAGATGGTCCGTAGGAAGCCGACCACCCACCACATGCTAGATGAGTGTGTACCCTCCGGCCTGGATCCTGACATCCATAGCCCCTTCTTCCAGACAGGATCTCAAGGAAACAGGTGGGTGCCCAGAGAAAGGGTCCTAGCCCAGGCCCTTCCAGACCCTTCCTTAACAGGCTCCTCGCCTAATGCCTGAGAGTCCCTAAGAGATGATACCTGAGAGGCTGCTTGCTTCAGGGAGGAGAAAGAGTGAAAGGCAAAAAAAAAAAAACCAAACCTTTGTTGAGTGCCTGTGTACCCAGCAGATTGGGCAAAGGAGCATCTCCTGTGGTCCCCTTTCAGATCACTGGGGAAAGAAGCCCTAGACTTGGAATCAGGCCCCTAAGCCCAACTGCTGTCTCCTCCATTTCTTTTTATTTATTTTTTCTTTTTTGAGACGGAGTTTCTCAACGCTCTTGTTACCCAGGCTGGAGTGCAATGGCGCGATCTCGGCTCACCGCAACCTCCGCCTCCCGGGTTCAGGCAATTCCCCTGCCTCAGCTAGCTGGGATTACAGGCACGTGCCACCATGCCCAGCTGATTTTTTGTATTTTTAGTAGAGACGGGGTCTCATCATGTTGACCAGGATGGTCTCAATCTCTTGACCTCGTGATCCACCCGCCTCGGCCTCCCAAAGTGCTGGGATTACAGGCGTGAGCCACCACGCCCGGCTGTCTCCTCCACTTCTGAGGGGATGCTCCTCTTTCTCCTCACTTGGGCATCACGGATGTCTTGCGTACTGGCCAATGTCTCCCACCCTCTGCCCCCCTCTCCCCAGGGAACACAACTCTGACAAAAGAAAGTGGCTCAGCTCTATGCCGGCTCGAACCCACTGACCCTCTGGAGGCCCGAGTCTGGGCAGGTGCTCAAGGCCTGCAGACAGATGGGTCACCAGGCAGGAGCTGCTGCTGGAGTTTGCTTTTGTGGCCTGGCAAGCTAATAAACAACAATAACTTCAGCCTCTGTCCCTGTTGCCAAGGAAGGGCCTCAAGTTGTCAACTCGGCCAGCACTGGGTTCTCAGAGTGCAAGGTTCCACCTCAAAGCCAGGCCCAGGGTTGGAGTTTCTGCTCCAGGCATCCCTGTGTGCAGTCTTGACATTCTGTGCATTCTCAAAGCACAGGGCTAGGCCTCTCCTCAGATAAGTGCGTCCCCCTCTGGACTCGGAGCCCCACAAAAGTGGGCGTTCTTTCTCTCCACTTGTTCTAAAGACAAGCCTTATGGAAGAGCAGGAGGTACCGTCTGCCATGCTCCTTCCAACAAAATCCCAGGACCCAGGGTTCTCCTTCTCTGGGAGCCCCAAGAGGGGTGGGTCCTTTCTCCTCAACCCACATACCACCCGGCCTACTATTCTACCAAAGACAGTCTCTCCCTGGGACTGAGCAGAGGGTAACCCCCCAGGGTTAAATAAGCGGCCACAGCAAGACATAGAGGGGCAGAGACTGAAATGAGGACAAAGATCTGACAAGTTTAAAACATGTATTTAAAATACAATTTATAAAATGCTGAATCTGCCGACTCAGGAGCCCGCGGTGCAGGGTGGGGTGGGAGTGGGCAGCTGCCCGCTACACCAGCAGAGTAAGACTGCAGGGGTGCGGCCCTCCCTCCCATGCCCTTCTGTTCAGACACCCAAGGGGCCCGTGTGCACCCCTGGGATCACACGACCAGAAAACAGGACCCCAGAGGTTTCTTGAGTCTCTGCTTACCAGGGAGGCTGGGTACAGCTCTGCCAGCCCATCCCTGAGCAGGGCACCCCCAGATGGGGCAGAGCAGGGTATGGCTGGGCTGGGCAGGGCAGGGCAGGGCTGGGTGGGGCAGGTGGGCTCTGGAAGGGGCTGATGGTAGCAGATAGGGTGTTGCCTCCTGCCTGCAGGTGGGGAGCACCCTGATTGAGTGGGCTGAGAAAGGCTGGTCACCAGGCCTGGACCCCCCCAGCTCCTTTGGTTATAGGCTGACATCAGAGTAGTGGCTCATGGGAAGCGGTTAGCTGGAAGGTCTGAGGCCTGGCCCATGGGGTCAGGAAGGAACTGGGGGACGGGGACAGTACCGTGAAGGCAGATAAAGGGGCAGCAGCCTCAAGTTTCTGCCCCCCATCCCCCTGGGGTTTTCCAAGCCAAAGCCTGCAACTTACTTTAAAAAAGAAAAGGAAAAAAAGCACTTAGGAAAGTTATAGACAACTACCCCAAAAATACCCTCCCACACGCAAAATCCAAACCGTTTCCTCATCTCCCTTCCCGCCTCCCCCAACACAATACATTTTCCTTTTTCTTTCTTTTTAAAAATGTTGCCTGCCACCTCTCCATTTGGGAAGCCCAGGGCATCACTGCTGGTGGGTGGCTGACAGGCACACAGCGGGCTAAGCTCATCTTTGGCCAGAGGGAGGTGGTAGGACCAGTCCCTGCCACATCCTCAATCCACAGACACCCACCAGCCACCCTTTACTTTGGCCTCCACTTGAGGGTAGTGGGGCAAGAACAGGCGGTCCCAATGGCTGGGCAGCGAGCACTTCTGGCCTTCCCACCTGAACTATCTCTATGCCCTTGTCCAGTTGAAAGGACAGTCTCACCCTGGGCGGGAAACCACTATTAGATGAAGGCTGGACACTACACATTTAGAATGGGGACACTTCGTTAGGGCAGTGGAATACAAAGACAGCAGCCAACTTCTTCCTTGCCTTCTCCTGAAGGTAATCCTCCCTCTTACGGACTGAAGCTCTGGCTCCAGCTCTGCTCACAGGGAATGGCTGGCTTCACACAGGCAGAAGGCTGTGCTGTGGACTAGCTGCTAACTCAGCTGGCAGCTGGCCCTTCCTCTGGAGGGGAGGGCATGGTGGGGCATGGCTTTCTGGGCCTGGCCTACCATTCCCACAGGGAACCAACGGTGGAGTGAGCCTGTGAGACTCGGCTTGCCACCTTGGCCACCACATGCTACCCTAATCACAAAACCACACCAACCACTCCGAAACTTATCTGCTGGTCAGGAGTGGGGAGGCCGTCTGGCTGGCTGAGGGATAAGGCGCAGTGCAACGGAAGGGATCAGGAAGCCCGAGAGGAGCCAGGTCCACACAGAGCCGCTCTGGGCAGCTGCCCTCTTAGCCTCTTCCACCTCAAGGAGCCAAAGCAAACCCCCGGCTCCAGGGACAGAGGAGAAACTGCCTTCATTCCAGGCCCTCACTCTGGAAAAAGGGGTGATGGATAGCCTAGGCCTCTGAGAAAACAGTCTGTCATCAATCTTTGCAAAGCAAAGCTGTTCTTTTTCCAACTTTATTCAGAATGTTCTGCCTTCAAGGTACTGATTGCACACAGGAAATGTACCAGGTATAGTGACTGAGCTGGGGCCAGCAATGGAGATGGAGCACCACAGACCCTTAAGAGTTCAAGCCATGCTGGAGTGGGAAGACCTATCCACCTTCTGACCATATGAGGCAGAAGGCTTAGGGTCCCGGAGCCAGACTCTCTCCTGGTTTTCCTTGTGCTGATGGCAAAATACTAAACAAGTCTCCTCTCCTTCACTGCTAACCCCAGGGATGCAGTCTTACTCCCTGGCACTCTGCTCTCTTCTAGAAGCAGTAAGCCTGGCTGGCAGGGAACCACCCTGAGGGGTATGGGAAGGGGAAGTCTGTTCACTTGCCCTATCTCCCAAAATACTAGAGGTGGGGTTGGCACCCTCCCCAGGCTCTCTGAGCCTACAGAGCTAGCCCAGTCTCCAGGCAAGGCCCAGATGCCCTGGGACTTAGCTCGGGGAGGGAGGTATAGGCATGGGGTGCTCATCTGTCCTGGAGGCTGCAGAGCCCTGCCCCTTTTCCGGGCGGCAGTAGGAATACAGAAGCTAAGCTCACCAAAATCCTATTGGTTAATGTTTCTAGTGAATTTCCCAGAAACATTTTTAAGTAGACTACCAAACTACCCTTTCTCAATTAAAAATTCATTAAACCACTAAAACCCCTCCCATGCACTTTTTCTTGCAAATCGGATATTTGTATAAACAAATAAAAATAGGAAGAAAAAAAAAAGAAAAGATTTTAAAATGGAACTTACTTTTTAAGTGATGAAGACATGCACTTGGGGGTAGGTGGGTGTGAGTTCTCATTTGTGTTTTGAAATCCCAAATTAATGAGCATGATAAACTGTTATTGCTGGCACTGGCTTTACCCCAAGTGGCCAAGTGGCACTGTCTGACTCTCTACTCTGAGTCCTTGGTGGGTCCCCCCAACCTTCCCCTAACCCCCACCCTTTCCCTTTCCATTGACTTGGGACAGCCCTTGTCGACGTGCCAATCACAGTGGGAAGGGGGAGAAGGGGGGAGGTCACAGTGCATGGGGTTCAAGGTCACAGTGGGCGGAGCAAGGGGGATCACAGTGCAAGTAAGTCAGGTCGTTCCCTCTGCTCAAGTCCAGCTGTCTGCCACGGCAGTGCAACCCGTGGCAGACGACCCAGGAGGCGGTGACGGCGGCAATGGTGGCATCTTTTCTTGCCTGCATTTATCTGCGCTGTTTGAAGCCTTGTGACCCATCAGGACCCAAAGGCTGTCTGATCACATTATTGGGCTGCCTGCTGTCTTCAGGTTGGGAGATCCTGGTTGGCCTGAAGGGAAGAAGAGCAGAGGAAGGCCTGAAGGAGAATATAATAGATGTCCCCCATCATTTTTTTATTTTTATTTATTTTTGAGACAGAGTCTCACGCCATCGCCTAGGCTGCAGTGCAGTGGCGCGATCTCTGCTCACTGTAACCTCCACCTCCTGCGTTGAAGTGATCCTCCTACCTCAGCCTGCCAAGCAGCTGGGACTACAGGCATGTGCCACCACACATACCTAACTTTGAAATTTTAGCAGAGATGGGGTTTCACCATGTTGGCCAGTCTGGTCTTGAACTCCTGACCTCAAGTGATCCACCTCCCTTCGCCTCCCAAAGTGCTGGGATTACAGGCGTGAGCCACTGGACCTGGCCTGGATAGCCCCCATCTTAAAAATCAACTGTCCTTGTAGCTGGGGCCCAAGTCACTCTGGGTCCACAAGCCTGCTTCTTTGGGAAGCAGACTCAGGGCACCTCCAAGCTGAAAGGCCCCTGTGGGCAGGGAGGGCCGGGGGTACACGTTAACCTCTAGCAGCTACAGCACTCTTTCCCCCTGCTTGGCTGCCATCATTCACAGGGGGAGGGCTCAAGGGCCCATTCTGCCCAGAGGCAGTGACCATGGACAGCACATGCTCTGCAGAACCATCTGGAATCTCCAGAGTGTTAGACCAAGGTAAAGAGCTGGAATCAAGAGCTCAGGAGAGGGACACATCTCCCTGCCCCCCAGTTCTTCCCTCCCACTCCTCTCCAAACTATGCAGTTAACAGTTGACTCATATTACTATAGAAAACGAAAGGTTGTGTGCTGTGTCGCTATTAAAAAAAAAAAAAGAAAAAAAGAAAAGAAAAGAAAACCTAAAGGAAGCACACATTTTCCATTCCGGAAAGGTGAAGATTTGGAGGAGAAACAACAAAGAGAACAGGTATCTCCTCAAAATTATGAAGAGAAAGAAAGAAGGTATGCAAATTAGTTCTTCAAGTCCTAGAACCTGACTTACCAAGCCATGGCAGCCCCTCAAAGTTCAAAAGAGGTCGTCTTAACAAACACTGTTTTACTAGGAAGTGACAAATTTACATAATGCAACCTCTAATACTGCAGAGGAAAAAATGCCAAGAGTAAAAAGGAATTTAGAAAATTCACAAAAACATCACAGTGGGCATACCGGAGACCCAGAAAATCAAATCAAAGCACCTAACTGGGTACTTTCCACTCTGCCAGCCCAGGTTCTTGACACCCTCTGCTCATTTACTCACTGAATCACACAGCACCTTGATAAGGTAGGTCCCATCATCCTCCCATTTGTCAGATGAGGAAACTAAGGCCCAGAGAGGTCAAGTCATTCTAAATTAAGAGGTTAAGAGGCAGATTTTGACGTGAGCCCATCCATGC